CTGCTTTGAGGAGACTGCTCTTCCCCAGTAGTGTTTTGACTTCCTTCCAACCTGAGAGGCTCATTTTCTGGCAATATAGCTAAAAACGTTCTGGTGTTATTCATAACTTTTTAATGTTTGGGCATTATATTTTACAATATGATACCACTATTCATAAGACTTTGAGCTCCTTACCATTTAGAAGGGGGTCTTTCTCTCCTTTTTCCTAGATTCTCTTAATATGGAAGCACCAGTGACACCTGTGGTTTAAAATACCAGTGGCATGTTAACCAGCATCATAGCAGCAAAAGGAAAACCACCACAGTATGATAAACTGAAAGGTGAGGGCGATCTTTATCTTTATCTCTCTATATATATCTATTTATCTGTCTATCTCTCTGTCTGTCTGTCTGTCTGTCTGTCATCTATCTTAGTCAGAGTCCTAGTGTGGTGCTGTAGGTTAATGTGTTCAACTGCAAAGTCTATTTGAACCACAAGGTTGGCAGTTCAAGGTCACCAGCGGCTCCTTGGAAACCCTATACAGGGTCGCAGTGGGTTAGAAATGACTCTACGGCACTTAACAAAAGCAACACACACACACATATAATGTTGTTAAGTGCCATAGAGTCGGTTCCGACCCATAGCAACCCTGTATATGGTTTCCGAGGAGCAACTGGTAAGTTTCAGCCGCCGACTTTGAGGTCCAAATGGCTTTGCAGCCTTGTCCATTAACCCACAGCACGACTCCATATATGTGTGTACTTTCGTGCTTTTAATATGACTTGCATGCAGCTTTTCCAATGATTAGTTATCACTTTTAGAATTAAAAAGAAAAATTGTGTCTGTGTCATATATCAGAATTTATGCCCACAGAAGTCAAAGGTCAAGTTATTTTTAGCCAAGGGCACATGAACTTTTAGCGCAGTGTGTTATACTTAGTCATCACTCTTTGTATGTTGTTGTTAAGCGCCATTGAGTCAATTCTTACCCATAGTCCCCCTGAATAAGGTTTCCAAGAAGCAGCTGGTAAACTTGAATCACCACCAACCTTGCATTCAAACGACTTTGCAGTCTGACACATTAACCCACAGCGCCATAGCAGGACTCCTCACTCTATATATTTAGTGAATATTCTAATAAAGAACAAAATTTAGACTATTGGACTCATTACTTTTATTGCACCCACATGCGACTGAATTAAAATTTATTTTTATTTTTCTGTGGTCCTGTTGGGCCAAAGTCTATTTTCCCTTTTAACAGATTAAAAAGCATAAATTTTGATCCATTAATGTATGGCATTTTCTAAAGCTGTTTTCCTTTCCAGTAACATACTTTTATATATAGGTGTCTTTTCGAGACAGGATCTTCAGAAGTGAGAAACAGGATAGAGAATAAATAGCACAAACAATATTTTCTGTCCAAGGTTGCTTCATGGATCAGGTCACACCATGTAAACACCATCTTATTTTACTAGAATTTGTAGTAAATCCTACTCTTCATTTCTTAGGTTTTAAGATGCGAAAATGACTCTCGACCTGAAAATTTCAAATTTCAAGCACATTATTGAAACTGACAAAATTTATCAGTACATCCCTTCTTCCCTATAATTCATTAGTTATACTGCAGGAAAATTTTCAAAATGCACTTTCTGAAATTACTAAAATTTAAAACAGTTTTCTGACTATGCAAGAAATGACACTAGAGACTCCTATAATCTCTAAAAGTACATACAGCAAAAATCTGCATTATTTGCAATGGGTTACCTTTGAATTAAAAATTGATTTTCTACTGTTAAGTGATCATTTCCTTATACCTCTATAGGATTCAATGAGACACGAGGGCAATGTTTCTATAAGAAAATGCTTAGATTTAACTTATCAGGGAAGCTAAATTAATTTTTCTACATGCCAACTAATTTGTTGCTATTGTTGCCAGTGACATTGTTACTGTCCAATTCATATATAAACAGCATGTCAGGAACTAAAGTGACTTCAAAATTGGAAATTATTATAGAAAGAATGTTGCAGTGTTGGTGTGGTGATGAGAGTGTGATATTGTTTTCCTCTCAGCCTTAGGAAATTTAAATATTTATATGGAATAAAATGATGATGGTATCCCTTTTTGTTTTTTTGTTCACTGTTCTCCATGGAATCATGGAATCGACTCCAATTCATAACATCCTTACACATAACAAAACAAAACATTGAGGGTCTAAGTGAGCTATTTGATAGTACATCACCTTCTTGTTATGTAAGAAAACCAAAATTTGGATCTATGTAATTGCACTTGCAGAAAGTACAATTCAGATATTTTTTAAACAGAATTAGACTTATTCTGAGTGCATTATGCCAAATGTTACTATAAGGCAGAAGTGTTGAAAGGAAGGAAAAATAGTTCATTTAAATAGACTTTTTTTTTTTTTTTTACTTCTTTGTGTTTGCAAAATTTCTTAAAATCTCTATCTGGGACTAGAACAAGCTGAAAATGTATATTAAAAGTTGCTGTTGTGAAGTGCCATCGAGTTGGTTCCAACACATAGCAACCCTGTATAGGGTTTCTGAGGAGCAGCTGGTGAGCTTGAACTGCCAACCTTGCAGTTCAAACGGCTTTGCAGTCTGGTGCATTAACCCACAGCACCACACAATGATATAAAAGTACAATACAACTTCTGCAGAGAGACTAATTATCCAATGTATTTGTATTTATACTTATAGACTTTAAATAAAAGTAAACACATATAATTTTAAAGACCTGATGAAAAATAAAATTTTCTGCAGGAAAAAAATGCAATTAAACATAAAGCTGTATATATGAACCTAGGCTATATACCTTCACTTTCCCTGACACTCCCTCCAGTGACACCTCTTACAACTGGGCCACGGAACCTGGTGAGCCTCTACAAAACTCCAGATAGCAGGCACCACACCACAGGTGTGGAAATACACAAAGAAATAATTAATCCTTCAAATAACATATAAACAGTTGTTGTTATGTGCCATGGAGTCAGTTCTGACTCATAGCGACCTTGTACAGGGTTTCCGAGGCTGTAAATCTTTACGGGAGCTGACCGTGAGATTAGCAGCCTGAATCGTAACCAGCATGCTACCAGAGCTCCTTAAATCTCACTCCCACAACACAGCAGCGTAATTTCAGGAACGACAAAGATGGGATTGGAACCCACACGTGAAGCACAATGGATTAGCAGTCCATGGCCTTAACCACTTGACCACCTTGTCTCTAAACTAAAGAGTAATTTCTATTAAATGAAGAATTAAATGAAAAGTTCCAGCATCATGAAACTAACATCTGAACTGCATAATTAAAGATGATTTTTAAATCATGATCTTAATTTTAAAAATTTAAATTAGGGAATAAAATAAGGACATAATTTCAAATTTAGAATTAACCCCAGTTGCTGATTCTTTTTTTATCTTACCTCTGAAACTATACTTATTTATAGTAATAGACACCCTAAACTTTGAAGTTTGAAGGGAACTAAATATCATTTTTTTCACATTTAACGCTTTGCTAATAATTTACGATAAGGAGCACTGGTAGCGAATGGTTATGAATCGGGCTGCGAACCTTCAAAGTCAGCAGTTCGAAACTACCAGCTGCTCCGTGGGAGAAAAATGAGTCTTTCTGCTCCTGTAAAGATTTACAGCCTCGGAAACCCTGTTCAGGGTTGTTATGGGTCGGAACTGACTCGACGGCACTTAACAACAACAACAACAACAATAATCTACCATATTCAAGAAGTGAAATACATTTCTATGGAAAGAATGGTTAAAGAAAGAAAGAAAGGAAAGGAGAAAAAGCAAAGTCATGATGTTGTTGTTGTTATGTGCCGTGGAGTCGGTTCCACTCATAGCGACCCTGTTCAGGGTTTCCAAGGCTATAAATCTTTACGGGAGTAGAAAGCCTCATCTTTCTCCCGCTGAACAGCTGATAGTTTTGAACTGCTGACCTTGCGGCTTTCAAGCCGATTCGTAACCACCACGCTACCAGTGTTGAAGAGCAAAGATGTCACCTTGAGGACTAAGGCGCGCCTGACCCAGGCCATGGTGTTTTCAATAGCCTCATATGGATGTGAAAGCTGGACAGAGAATAAGGAAGATCATAGAAGAACTGATGCCTTCGAGTTGTGGTGTTGGAGGAGAATACTGAGGGTGCCATGGACTGCCAAAAGAACCAATAGATCTGTTTTGGAAGAAGTGCAGCCAGAGTGCTCCTTGGAGGCCAGGATGGCTAAGCTTCGTCGTCCCTCATACTTTGCACATATTGTCAGGAAGGAACAGTTGCTGGAGGAGGATGTCATGCTGGGTAAGATGGAGGGTCAGAGAAAAAGAGGAAGACCCCCAACGAGATGGATCAGCCAGGTGGCATCATTGATGGTGTCAAGTGTGGCAGCGGTAGTGAGGTTGGCCCAGGATCGGACATTGTTTCTTTCTGCTGTGCATGGGGTCGCTATGAGTCGGTTCTGACTCAATGGCACCTGACAACAACAACAACAAGGCTACCAGAGCTCCTTAATATTGTTGTTGTTATGTGCCATCGAGTCGGTTTGGACCCATAGCGACCCTGTACAGGTTTCCAAGGCTGTAAATCTTTACAGGAGCAGAAAGGCTCATCTTTGTCCCGCAGAGTGGCTGGTAGTTTTGAACTGCTGACCTTAAGGTTTGCAGCCCGATTCGTAACCACTAGACTACCAGAGCTCCTTAAAGTAATGATAGAAGAACCCAAAAAGGGAAGGACAATGCCAATTACCAACTTCCTTTTTGATGTTCCCCAGTGATCTCCCTCTGATTTGCTTTAACAATTTCCACTGGGATGGGAATCTTTTTAGGATGAAATATGTGACAAGCTTGTAAAAGAAATAAAAACTCTCATGCAAATCTAAAACAAATCAATTATGGCTGAGTAAGTTTTGACTCATTGTGATCCAAAGTGTACAGAGAAGATCTGTGTTCCCTAGGATTTTCAAAGATGTGGAGTTTTCAGATTTTTTTGTCTGTGAGTTCTAATAATCAACCTTTCTGTAGTAAAGCATTTAATTATTTGTACCACCCAGGGACTATGCAAAAGAGAACTTCCTCCGTTTCATTAGAACTCCCTATTAAAGACTAAATTTATCTATTAGGGGTGATGTCTCTGGGCATTGGAATAACAAAATGAAATAGCAAAGTCTGTGCTTCCGTTTGTCTGTAGTTTTCATAATTGCTTATATTCCAACCTTTCACTACAATAACCCAAAGTCATAGCTACATCTTTTTCTCAGTTCATTAGTTTTACTCCCTTTTCTTCAGAGTTGATTCTTATTTCTCATTGAAATAGACCTTCTTTGGTACATTATCTGTGAGAGAACCATAAAGATGTGAAAGCATTTGCATTGTAAAAGAAAGGCTGTTTAATGTAAGAAAGGGGTTTGCTTTTAACAGTATTATGAGATGTCTGTACGCGGTATCTAATTTACTTTCTTCTTAAGATTTTTTAAGTAGTCCAATATTCCTCAAAAATTGTATTGTTTAAGTAATGTTCTATTCTTTTTCTAGATTTTCAGATGACTTTCTTCCCCATTTCTTTGGATTTGCAGTGAAAAAAAAAAAAAAAGAACAGAAATAGATGTGAGAGCTCTGAAGAATCTTTCCAGACATTTTCTGCATTTAGATTGTTTCATATGACAGGTTGTTGTATTTGCTACCAACTGAAGATATCTAGTATTATATCAGAGACCATTGTACTGGGGATAGTAAGGAAAACACTATATAGAGCCAGCAATGGATGTTTTTTATGCTGACCAAATGCTTGGAGATTCTAACTCACCCAGAGACACTTTGGAAGAAAAGTTCTATCTTCACACACACACACACACACACACACAGTCACCTATGGAGCCCACATTGTTGTTGTTGTTAAGTGCTGTTGAGTCAGTTCTGACCCATAGCCATCCTTTATAGGGTTTCCAAGGAGTGGGTGGTGAGCTTGAACTGACAACCATGCCATTCAAAGAGACTTTGCAGTCAGCACATTAACCACACCAGCACTCCATTCTCACACACATGGAGTCTCTATAATTCAATCCAGTAGGGAATGCTAGAAAAATAAACAAAAACCTATATTTAAACTTTTGACCTACTTCTTCCAACTTTGGCAGGATTCCTACAAGCATGATACCCTTCTCCTATTACTGGTCTCTTGTACCAACATCCTTGTTCCAAAGGGATATTTTGGATTCACTTCTCACAAGACTCATTTGTTTGTTCTTCTGGCAATACATTCTGCATTCGATATTCTTTGACATACCATAATTCAAAGATATCACTTCTTCTCCAGACTTTCTTATTCATTGTCTTGATTTTGCATGTAAAGGAGATAACTGAATATACCAAGGACTGGGTCAGGTACACCTTTGTCCTTAATGCTACATCTTTGCTTTTTAACACTCTAAAGAGATCTTTTGCATTTGATTTTCTCAGTGCAGTACATCACTTGATTTTTTTATTGCTTCCATAGGCATAGTTTATATATTCAAGTAAAATTCAATTATCGACAACTTAAATCTTTTCCCTGTTTATCATAATGTTGCTAATTGTCCAGTTGTGAAGACTTTTGTTGTCTTTGTGATGAAGTGTAATTTATACTGAGGATTATCATATTCGATCTTCATCAGTGAGTGCTTCAAGTCCTCTTCACTTGCAGCAAACAAGATTGTGTCATCTTCAGGTCACAGGTTGGTCGTGAGTCTTCCCCCTAACCTGATGTCAAGTTCTTCTTATATAGCTCTGCCTCTCAGATTATTTGCTACACACACAAATAGAATACGTATATTGAAAGGAAACAAACTTGAGGCATGCTTTTCTTATTTTCATTTCAAATGACTGCCTCTTGCTCTATGTATAAGTTCTGCATGAGCACATTTAAGTGTTCTGAAATCTCTATTCTTTGCAATCTTAACAAAATTTACTCTGACCACACACTGAAATGTATTTGTTACTCAATAAAACACAGTAAATATCTTTCTATATGATGTTTCCTGTTTTCAGCTAAGATATATCTGACATCAGCAGTGGTGTCCCTCATTCCACACTGTTTTAGATTGAATTGTGTTCCTCCAAAATATGTATCAGCTTTACTGGGCCATGCTTCTCGGTGCTTTGGCAAATTCTGTGACGATGTAAAATGGTAATCATGTGATAATCCCCCATGATGTGATCTGATATGATAAATCAGTAAGAGTATTAAGGGTAGGTTACTCAATGGTACTTAACAACAACAAATAAAAAGTTATCCCCTAGAGTTGGCAGTCTGGATTTGGCTTTCTAGCCTCCTAAATTGGGAGAGAATAATTCTGCTTGTTAACATCATCTATGTTTGGTGTTCCTGTTATAGCAACATTAGATAATTAAGACGCACGTTATTTTCTGACTTTGGCTTGAATTTCTGGCATATACTATGGGTGTATTCTTGCAACTGTTTTTGAATTATGTTCAGCAAAATTTTGCTTGCATGTGATACTAATCATATTCTTTAAAAAAAAAAGTCTGCATTCTGTTGGACCACTTTTGGTATAGGAACATATATGTATCTGTTCTTACAAATTGACTAGTTATCTGTCTTACAGTTTTCTTGGAATGGGTACGCAATTCCAGTTGTTTTATCCATTTGTTGAAATATCTTAATTGAAGTTCACTCACATCAGTTCTTGGAGCCTTATTTTTTCACCATTGCTTTCAATATACGTTGGATTTCTTCATTTAGTATCATTGGTTCTTAATCATTTGCTAACTTCTGAAATGATATGAAACTCAAATAATTATTTCAGTACAGTGACACTGCATACATATTCCTTCCATCTTCTTGTGATGATCCCTACATCTACATCATACTTCTTTTTTATTTTTATTTTTGTCATTGCTACTGATAAGTGCTTTTAATTTTGTTTGGGTTCATAGGATCTCTATACCCTAATATTGCCAGCGCCAATCCCATCCTGACAATTGTTTGTGTTTTCTCCTGACTGTCCATGCCACTTGCAGTTATTACTGTACAGCACCATAATTCAAATTCATCCACAATTCTTCTATGGTATTCTTTATTCATTGTCCTTCTTTCAAGTGCCAATGAGGCTACTGAAATTGCAGTGATTTGTGTCAACTGGACCTTAGTCCTCAAACTGACATCTTAGCTCTTTAACACTTTAAAGAGTTCTTTTGCAGCAAATTTCCCAAATGCAACA